AGAGTATCCATCACACCACAATCCACCCAGCATCTCACATGAGGAAGAGGAAAAAATACCAACTACATCGCCAACCCGCTACACAACTGCCCTCCACCTGTCCCTTGAAACTTCCACGCTGCCCAGCCCCATCTCCAACTAACCAGTCACCTACGATCACTCGCACGCCCACCCCGAAGAGTGCACCTTAACTCGTAATAACAACGGAGTTTAACGAGAAAAGAAAGTCCTGTGCGTTTTCTAACACTCCATGCTGGGATCGCACTGCTTCTCGCCCACATAATAAAACCAGCCCTGGCTAAACCTCCACCTATCAATAAATATACTGTAGCCCCAGCGAACTTTCCTTGTATGCTATGTTTTCCTCCCTCCCCCCCCAAACAGTCAATCTAGTACCGATTCATACCGAGCACCACCAGCCCAGCCCCCACTTCTAAAGTCACTAAAGGTCCGCGCGCATCTTAAGCTCGCCCAAAAGCAGCGAAACTCGGCGCACCCACAGACACAAACACACAGGAGTGATCGACCATCCGCACAGCTCATTAAACAGCAGTAAACGTAGCCAACGAGCCACTACACCCCACCCACCCCTACGCCCCCTCGCTCCAATTCTTGGCAACCACTTTAGTAAAACAATACGATCCGCCCCTCCGCAACACCAAACAATGCCAAAAAACAACCTTATCTCATACTTAACTATATATCAATTCGCTTTCGCCACAATGCAAAGCAAAGCACCGCACAATCATCACACGAGATAAAATTAAGAAACTCCTTCGAACCTCAAAAAGACTCACTCAACTCTCCGGCATCAATCCTGATCGATCTTAACATCTACCCCCCCAAACATAGCCCAAAATAAGAGCAACACCTCTCCGCGCCCTACTACCTACCAGCGAGAGTCAGAAAGATCGAGATACCCACCAAAACCCGCGATGTCCCATATTCTGTACCCACACAAGGAGCACTACTCCGCACACAATCTATTCATTTTACCTCAGAATACACAGAGACCACCGCACTTCGAACACAACACGGATACTTGAGAGTATTCCTGGCAAGAGACAAATACAACAACATAAAAATTATGCCATTATACAAAATGCAATAACCTTATAACCTCTACAACGTATAATCTCATACTCCCTTAAGTTCCGTTGTACCCACCAACCACCAACAGCTAAACTAGCAATCACCCTAGAAGCACCGCCAGCTCTACCGCACCCTCGCTAGCAACCCGAAAACCCCAATACCACAAGCCAGCGTTTAGACCACCAGAGAGTCGTACAGCAGAACCAACCCCGTTACCCAAGGGAGAACTAATATTAGAGCCAACCGTCCCGCCAAGAGCAACCCCTAATACCATCACTTCCCTCCCAATCCGTCCGAAACAAATTCAAAATATCAAAACTGCCCCGCCCATTAAGTGACACACAAACTATAATACAAACGAGACATCTACTCTCCTGTGAAGAGCACGACCCGTTGTAACAATATACCCAATCCATTCGCATTTCCGGATACTCGTCCGCCCTAAACGAGCTCCAAGAAGTACGCGAACTAAATTTCCCTCAACACTTCCTGTGAATGGTGGTAACTTAATTATATCTTTTTTATTTTTCTCCTCTGAAACTGAATTAATTTAAACCTGAGAGAATGTATTGCGTTAGATAAATTGTCGGTCCCGTGGTCCAACAACCGCGAACAGTCAGAGATTTAATATACCGACCACCGATTCGCCCCCACCGACAATCCACCACACAAACGTGCAAAACCAAGAATTCACCAAATCAGCAACAACAATTAAGAAATCAAACACTAACGCCACACTTACAAACCACGCACAACTGTAATAACAGAAAAAAACAGGGAACTAATTTTGCGATAACAAGGATACAACCTCAACCTCCACAAACCGCAATAACGCCCCCCCAACCAACACGCCCAACTCAAATCAGAAAACACAACCAGTCTGGCATTGTTTAAACATCAGAGAAATTCAAAAGAGACTTCGCCGAGAGGAGAGGTGTCACGTGAGGCAGAAATGTTCATCACATCTAGGGGTCCACAGGAACAACCCCCAAAGTCCAGAGCTACGCCCCCGGCTCCAGAAACAGACTCCAATCAAGCTCCCGGCGGCCACCGTGTACATGGTACCCGCCCCCACCACACAAATGATCTCCGAGCCCTCAATTAGACAAACACTAACCGGAAGACACAGTGTCCATCACCCCCAATCGAGCCACCCGCTGGTCCGATCCGCATCATACATCAAAACATCAAAAACCGAAACTACCTAAAACGCAAATTCAAACAAAACAACGCACAAACCACACCACCTACCGCCTACCCATCCCGCCAAAAACAATACACCGCAAAAAGATAATACCACCAACGCCCGTACCGCAGATCTTCCCGCCAAGGGACCTCAACGAACAGCGGACACAGAGCTCCCCTATCTTATACCAAAAATCTTAAATAAACCTCTATCTCAACCTATTAATCCCACAACTTCGATCTAATAATAACTCTACAACCTCACAACAAGTACAACCCCTCAACTGCCGAAACCCGACTCTCTCTGACTCCTAAAGATCTCATCCATGAGAGCGACCAACCATCAGCCGTGCCCACAACTACAGCCGAACCACCTGCACGCGACAACTTATCCGGCAACAATCACAACGCACGTTCCAGCAGCACAAAACACAGGAAACCACATGACGCAGCCAATACCGCATACCGCCCCCTCGCAACTGCTCCCCGCCAGGTACAACACCTCGATAAATACACCACTTCAATCACCCCACACCAAACACTCTCGCACTCAGCCCCTCAGCTACCAGAAATCCCACAACAACAATCGCAACCCACCACGCTAAGCGACCGGGCTCCTTTCTTAAACCGACCGGCCTAACGACCAAAGGTGAGCCAACCGAACTCCATACCCGACTGTGCGCTCTAGCTACTACTCCAAACTCTACTACCCCAGCTCCCCCGGAGCTAGTCCTCAAACGATCAAGCGCCCCCAAACATAAACAAATCACCGACACCACGAGCCCCCCACTTCCCACATCCTCAGACGAGTGTATTAACGGGCTTGTCCCCTAGACCGACAATATTCAATACAACCCAAAAAGCAACCTGGTCATAGTAAACTCCACTAGACTCATTGTAACACCCTAAATCCTACCGAACGCAATCCCTCACGCCGCCACACAGTCCACAAAACAGGGCAGTTAGGGTGCGCATTAGATTCTGGAGGCGGTGAGCACACCCAGAGGATTCGTCTATGACCGCGATAGTCATGAGCGAAGCATAGACAGAACAGGCGATTATGCCAATTAGAAAGATGAGCGAGAGGCGTAGCCAGGAAGCGAGCCAGACCGCAGCGAAGGTGCTGGTGTATAACGGAGAGAGTCACACGTACTGCGCGAATGCAAACAACCCAGGCAAACCTCGGGACACTTACAGATCCAACTGCACTCCGCAGACGCCCTCTTCCTTCTCGCATACGAACATCGGAACATGACACAGTTTACAGATTCTCAAACTGGCGTCGTGAAAACCTTTCTTACGATGAGCTTCCTATATCAATCACTAGCCGGCGTATCCCTCAGCTATCGCCAGTGAATCATCTTGCGAGTACGAGCGCAAGTCGAGAATTACAGGAGAATCAATTCGCCTGTCAGTATTTAATAAGGGCTATCACTATCGTGCACCACATGTCGGGCACAATGAAACCTTGAAATCGGTGTCGTTAACGAGATTCATCAGTAACGGTTGACTATCAGAGCGCGCTGGCGGCGTGTCATATCTAGCATTTATGCCTAAGCCGCCAGTTTGCGCATAATCAAACAGCGTATAGTTGTGCTGCGGAGTTGAATCCTGTGCTCCCCAGAAAACACACAGCAAATAATCCTTCGATCGATGTTAGCGCCTTACTCGTACCACACAACCCACAATCAACGGCGCATGGTTAAAGCTATACTTTTACCATGTGTACAGAAGCTTGATCGTGCTTTTTGCTTTCTCTCATTACCGTTTTTCCTGTATGTACACGATTCGCCACTTCCTGATACTTGCATTCCTTCGCGTTATCGCGTGCATGATGGAAGTACCAAAGCGTTTTCATCAGAATCCAAATTAGGTGGGGGGGCGTATCAAGACCCCGATTTCAAAGGTGGAGAAGTCGTATTGATGTGACCACATCGACATCCTCGACACGATTTCCACCCTGCTCCCGGGGATAGGGTAGGTGTGCGTGCCCAATCGCAGAGCGTGCCTTCTATCTTCGTCAAGGATTTAATTATTGACTTCTTCATCGTACTATTAAAGGAAGCGACCACGCTGGCTTCCACGCTGGATTTGCTACCCTCGCGTTATCAATCGATAAGGTGTGAGGCAGTAATTGTTGGACGAGTGTAAGCCCATGATATGATACGATGAGATAAGAAGGTGCGGCTGCTTGATAAGAGGTGCACTCCAGAATGAAAACGGGACGATAACGATAACGGTATCATATCTAGCACGCTCTTATCGCACCCCTTTCCACATCGATAAGTCTTGGTTTTTGCTGAACGGAAGTGGATTTCGGCGCCTTATCACTCCGTTGATAAGGCGCCACTGCCACTGAAACTTCACGTGTTCTAACATTGGGCAGGACCCTATCCACTCCAGTACACAGCTTTCCTTATCGTCCCTATGAGAATTATCGTGACCACTTCCTTTAAATTGCACACTTAGCAAGCGATTAGTGTTGTAGAGAAGAAATCTTAAACATTGAAAAAATCATTTATCGTGAGCAATCTACAAATACATTTCCACACATATTTGGCCGTATTATTCCCCATTTACGGAGGTTTATATAAAACAGCAGAAAATCAGAGCAGTAGATTAAGCAACTGTATCATATAAGAGGCACTTATGAAAGCCATCAAATTCGCCGTATCTATGTATCACACTGTTCTCCATTCAGACTAGCCATCATACTAGTATAGCTAAACGAGGCCCTTATACTCGGCATCAATCAGCTTGGCGATCGTATTTAACTGAACATTCGATGTGCCTTCGTAGATGGTACCTGAAATACTTTGTTGGACATCCAGACCCCGAAAATTTTGCACTAACAAGTAAGCGCCTTGCTTCAGCGAAGCAAAAATTTTTCTCAACAATGCTAGAATTTTAATATGGAACTCACCTGCTTTGGCATCTCTATAGAATTTCTCCACGGGATACTCTTTCGTGAAACCCACTCCACCGTGCCATTCTATGCATTTTGAAGTGGTTGATGATGCTACCTGAAATGCTGCCATCAAAATTAAGGACAAGTGTGCAATGTTCAGCGTCAATAGATTCTTTCCGGATGTGCTATGCACTTGCCTTTCGGAAGCCCATCTGACGGCATGTTTTCTCATGCAATAAGTTGCGTAAGTAGGAGAGGGATAAGAACTGAGAATAATCGACGGCACTATTGCACTATTACAACCCCAGTAGGGGTGAGATGGGTCAAAAAATAATTTTCGCTGAAACTTCGCTATGGGGGTTATCGAGGGTCCTGATCACGAATATGATATCCATTTTTGGCGCTGGCGCCAGGTGGCGCCACAACTGATTCCCACTAAATTCGCTGTAAACTTCTGTATAGGGGTTATTTGGGGTCCTGATTACGAATATGACATTCGTTTTTGTTGTTAGCGCTATTCGGCGCCTGCTTCCTGCTCGTCTGCGCCCTCGCACTAATTAGATCGCAATCAGGACTAAGCCTTTGAATAGTGGAGGGCTCCAAAGTGAGTAGGCCACTCCCCTGTGGTCTAACACACTCCAACTTTTGCCACACGGTGCGTGGTTTCACCCACTCCGGAGTTTCACTCCCCTCCCCTAAGCTTAGTCCTAGGCGCCATAGGTGAGAAAGCCTAGAAAACCAGAAAATATGCGTTAAACAACACGAATGTTAAAAACCAGTGTCATATTCGTGATCAGGGCCCCAAATAACCCCTATTCAGAAGTTTACAGCGAATTTGGTGATAATCAGTAGTGGCGCCAGCTGGCGCCAAATGGCGCCAATTTGGCGCCAGCGCCAAAAAAAGGATGTCATATTCGTGATCAGGACCCTCGATAACCCCCATAGCAAAAGTTTCAGCGAAAATTATTTTTTGACCCATCTCGGCCCCAGAGTCAACCCTGCGTTGCGCAGTTCGCAACGGCACGTTGAGAGATCCTCAACGCACGCTGTATGGGCGGAGACGCAGACGGCTCGAGCATGCGAGTGTGAATGTTCGCGCGAGAGAACGTGTCTAATCGGGCGAAACTGCGCAACGTGGCCGTTGAAAACTGCGCAACGCAGGGTTGACTCTGGCCCCCACTGGGGTTGTAATAGTGCAATAGTGCCTAATCGACTACTAGGTTGCATTTTACAGAGTATCAAATTGATTGAGTGTCCGCAGAAAAGAAAGCGATATACTCTAATTTCCAGTAAATAAGCCTCAGCCAATTCCACGTAAGAACACCTGACATCGAATTACCCTATGGCCAAATTACGGTAGTCCGTAGGTGAACGCAAGTATACTACACAACCACAGGTGTCTTTCACGTTACACTACCCAGCGCTTGATCTACTGGCAATGAGGGTAACCTTCCAAATCAAAATTGCCGCTAATGCTTGCATCGTACGGTAAGCTTCGGTCAAACTTGTCAGTATTTGTAACATATTATTACAATCCCGGGGCTTTCGAAGTACTCATTTTCCCTTTGTACATTCTTCATTTCCAAAGTCTTCAAATAAAAACGAACAAGTGACGAGTGACGTGAGAATACGATGGCGTGTAAAAGTAAATATAAATACCCATTAAGCAAACCGAGTTAAAATCAATCACATCGGTGGTAGTTGCAGGTGTTACGGAAAAATGATAACTGTAGTGATACTGACAACACCCAGTTCAGACTGCACTTCACTTTTCTATAAACATCCATCATTTGTTGGGAGCACACAGTCTAGCTCGAGTGAGCTTGGTGAGCTCCGATATTGGAGAGGAAACGCAAACATCAATTAGTACATCTGATACTTCAGCGCTGCGGTGAGATACTTACTGATCATTTTGAGACACTGATAATGTAAAGCATCCTTATTGTTAAGCTTTCTTTGCAAGGTGCTATTATCTGCTTTTGCTGAGAAACACATTGTTGTCACCCATCGGCAGTCCTTCTATCATAATTCATCATCAGTTCGCAGCGTCGATTGTGTTCCATCACGTAGAGATTTCCAATTTCACTCTCCTCCCACTCCCCTTATCAGTCCTCATCAGGTATTATCACTTTCTGCCATCAGTGTAACAGCATAGCTCACAGAGGTCCAAATGCTCTACAGGGAGCGCGATCAACAATAATTTTGTTTTTAACTTGTTCTTATCATTTGCTATCAGTTGTTATAACAGATCATTTTATTCCTGTCTCCAGGTCAAATAATCTCCTCGCGTGCGCAAACCATTCTGCGCATCGACAACGAAAACGACGTAATTTTTCTGGTGCCACCTGCAACTCGACTCCTCACATTAGCTCTTACCGTTTGTGATCACTTCATTTTCCCAGCTTCACGTCCTACTCCTAACAATTTCCATAGTTTGAAGCGTTCGCGTCAGCGCGTTGCCTTTGCGAATTTAGGGCCAGTTCCATTCCACACCAATTTATCACATGATATCACTTGTTATCACCTATCATTTGTTATCCGCGTCCCGCCCCACGTTACACGTATGAGTGCAATGATTTGAGAAGCCCGTTATCATTTTGTACCACTTGCTATCACCTTCTATCACCCACTAGCCGTGTCCAAACCTTGCTTCACTTTTCGGCTAGTGGTAGCGAATTTATGAATTTCCGGTCAAACATACACAACAATTCACGCTTGGATCGCATGTAGCAGGATGAGCGGTTTCATTGAGCGGAGGTAGTGAATTGACACTTTCCGCCCCTCAACACTCACATTCCGCATTTCCCAACTGTAATTTCTATTAAGCTAAGCAAGCTCTAGGAGAAGCGATAGTGCCCCTTTTCCTATACGATTTCCGAGTTGAAACGCTGACATGGAAAATATCAAATGAGTCACCTGCGATGAATACAGCTTCGCCATAGCGGCCTGCTTAACGAACGGTATGTTGTTCTCCTGGAATTGATCCTTATGAAAATGCTCAAGTGAAAGCGGTTCTTACACCTACAAACACCAATAACCTTCATCCTTGCAGCGTTATAAACCAGCAATCGTGCCGCTTCGATCTCTACCGCAGTTTGCGCAATTTGATGTTGCATACCCTATAAATGCTGCACAATTACAGCCAGCACTGAGCGAGGAGAGAGCTGGATACTTGTTATGGGCGCACCTGGAAGTCTATAATCCGTGTTCCAAACTGTTTCCGTTCTTGGAGATAGGGTATGGTGGCATCATAACATCCTTGCGCCAAACCAACCATTTGAGCACCAATACCGATACGGCCAGCATTCAAACACTCAATGGCATATTTATAGCCTAAAAGAAAACATTGCACCTGGCTAAGCACATTCGGTAGGACAAAAAATTTTTTTGTCCTGATGGAGACGAGTTCAGCGCTGGAGTATTATTGTAGTTGTATTGCCTCGTTGAGGTTTTTAGGTGAAACTAAGATAATATTTCCATGGAATTCTTTTCCTCACCATCAGATCTAACACATTTAGAGTCTTGATGTGGAAAACAAAGTGAGCTATACTTCCACATTGCGACGATTTAGTTATCCAATAGAGCACTGATTGTGAGTTACGGAAATTTGGACTACACTCTTTCCCATACAGCTTTGTTATTGTTGGCCCTGGGCCAAGGCATCGTTCTCTGCGTCCAGAATCCACTATTAAGACTTTTCAACAGCACATAGTAATCCTACATCGCACTGTCGCGCTCTATGCTACCATTTACCATAGCGTTACTCTCCGCTACGCGCCTACCACAATATTGACCCTACGCGGGTGATTAGTGACCGAGTTCCTTCAGACTTTCTAGAAGAGGTCCAAAAACACGACAAAAAGTTGCTCTAACGAAGATTGAGCTTTATGGAGATGCGAAAGGCCTTTGCTCGTACAGCTTGGCCACCACGAAGAGGAATGGCTAGTGCCGATTTGATCGCTAAAACATTCCTGGCAACTCTGGATAACAGCTCCGCGAAGGACTCATTCAGGAAATACGGGCTACGTCGCCGAAACTGGCTACTGCGCAATATTTTCTTCAAAGGACCTCAGGAGGGCGCAGCAATTGGGCTGGTTTTTCGGCAGTGTGGGTAGGCCGTATTCTCTTAAGAAAGTTCCTGTGAGAGCACGGTTTATCTTTTGAGAAAGTGTTTGTGAGAAGTAAGGATTCCCATATGCTCTCATTCTTTTTCACAATAATTGTAAGAAACAAACATTTCCACTTTTACCAATGCTGAATCGTTAAGAGTTTCTATGGTAACGAAGCAAGCGACCGTGGAGGGCGAACGCACCTTTCCCATATTCACCGAGTATCGCCGACTTAGGCACTCGCACATTCTCGAAGTAGACCGGGCATGTGGCTGAAGCGCGAATTCCCAATTTATTCTCCTCTTTGTCCACTGACACTCCTTCCTGGTCTCGGTCCACTAGGAAGCAAGTGATGCCCTTGTGTCCCTTCGATGGATCAGCGTTTGCAAACACCTAAATAGCATAATCACACATCTACGTGCACCTGATAAGTTTTCTGAAATCTTGTGAAGCAGTCACTAGGAAACTCCTACCATCCAGAGACGATAATAACTCTGGCCCTTGGAACTCGAGCACTCATAGAAAAAATGAAGGAAATCTCCTCAGAACACATTTTTGAAACAGGGAAACGGTAGAAAATTGCCTCCTTATCCTTGATACTCAAAACGAATTGATGCTCGTATTTTCAAGTTGGGTTTTTTTACAGACATCAGCTCTTGGCGACATTCCACGATGGGGGCAGCCATATGGCTATGGCAAGGCTGTTCTGCTTGTGTTTTTGAAGACGCTAAAGTATGTAGACGTAAGCGTACAATGGCTTTAAAACAGCCAACGACAACTGTTTATCACAGTACTGCAAAGGCCTAGTGCACAGCATTTGTTGAATTGGGAGTAAAAGGACAACGTCATCTCGTTGAAAGAAGGTTCCTCGATAATATCGGAGATCGAAGAGGAAAATACTAGTCGAAAGAGGCGGGCCACTCGATGGGTCGATGCGGCATTGCCAGCGAGAGTACGTAGCCTTTGCTATCGACTCTATCGCTTTCAGCAGGAGAGATTTTTAAGCGTGGCACAGGGCAACCCATATGCCAAGTGTATTAACTGCAGAGATTCACGATGAAAAGTTAGCTCCATTGGAAATAAGGGTAGAGGTGGTCAGTGGAGCAGGGAATGAGAAGAACCATGTGAAACGGCCCAGAAACCGAGAAATGGGAACCCCTTCCTTGCCCGTTGATTTGCGCATTGATGCGACTCTCATCGCTGTGCCCTCTTCTCTCTCTGCTATCTAATCACTCGCCACGTATAGACCTGCGGCGAGTGATTAGATAGTCGGTGGGCGTACCCCGCCAACCGCGCCAAGAGTGAGCCATGCTAGATCGCCGAGGTCAAATCTTTCGCTGCCAATTGCGCGTCGGTCAGCACCCTCAGGAGGTCCGCCTGTCTCCCAACTATGCAATTTCCCTTCTTTGACCTTCGTTCTTATCGTGAATTCCTCCTTCTAATGCGGAAACCAGCTGGTAAGTAAGGGATTCCATCATCTCGAGTTCTGAGCCGTTTCTCACAATTTTTCTCCATGCCTGCAACTAGCAATCTCTACTTGATTCTATTGGGCAGCTTATTATCGTGAACTCCGCCTGTAAGCTATTCAACGGAACCTTGCAGCAAGCTTTTGGTGTTGGTTGATTGTGATGGGAATACAGTTCCAACGGAAGGGCATTTTTTGAGCCTTACTTCCGCACAGTACGTTGTACCCTTTTGAGGAGTACTTAGAAAGCTGAACATGGATCGCCAAATCGGATGAAACAGACAGGGATTGAGGGCTCCTGCAACCAAGCAATTTCTCAGCTTATGAAAGGTGAAGGGTAGATAATCAAGCCAAAGTTGATGTGATACCTGCTGAAGGGGCTCCTTCTCACGTTTATTTTGGGGGATGCGTCAACATTGATGATGATGTAAACCAGGACAGCGAAGAAAAAGCTGAGAACAACAGAGCACACCGCGGGCATCTTTCAATCTCCGAAGGGTTATCTCTCCGAAGTCCCTTAGGTCACGCAATATGAGAAGCCCTCCACATCTTTGATCTCTGCTACATATTGCGAGACGCAGCTGGAAACTAGCTCTCATAAACAGTATATGAGTGGAAGAACAATGCGCGGAGCATCTTTCAGGGGAATTGATCAAGACAAAATGCTAGGTTTTCCATCCCTTTATTATCAAAAAAGGGGCTTCACCATCAAGAATTTAGCAACCATAGACCTGCACCAAGAGGGTAGAAGGCTGGATTGACTTCGGTTGTCCTCGACCGCAGCGCTTCTCAGCCTCCAGTGCTATTACTACTATAAAATGATGACAAGAGTTGATGAGTAAGTCCACCGCCTTGATAAGTAAATTTGCAGTACGACTTGTATCCTACTGGGAGTCAAAATCCTGTATAGACCTCCCAAAGGATATGAATAGCCCAGTGAGATTAGGAGGTAATGTTGTTTCGTTTGTTTCGAATAGCCAAGAGAAACATACCAGGAAGAACTTAGCGTGGCTCGAACTGGTGATCCACAGCTTTGACCCATTGATAACATAATCACCGCCGTCCGCCTTGGCGACAGTCTTCATGGCGAAAGCATCGGATCCTGAGCTGGATTCGGAAAGGCAGAACGAACCGATCTAAAGAGAGTAAGAGAGACACTTGAGGATCACTGCAGCCTTGAAGGAACTATTCATTGCAGAAATATATCAGTCAATACCATATCCACTTACCCATTCTGTGCACCCTTTCGGAAGATATTTTTGCTTTTGTTCTTCTGTTCCTAGTTCCAGTATCAGCGGTAAAATGAGTGTATTTTGTAGGTCAACAAAGGCGGACACTGCGGGATCAATCTGAAAGCATCAGAAATAGAAAGGAGTCTGCGTTCATGATAACCGTAGGAGTATCATAGTTAATACCTCAGATAAGAGTGGAGGCAGTGCAGTGGTCAAAAGTGGCTTATTCAAAACACTGATGAGTTAGCTTCAGCAGCCGCTATGCAGCTTGAAGGAGGATTTCACGATTAGAATGG